ACACACACACACACATAGTAATTATTTTATTTGATACATTTTTAATTCTATTTTTATTCATTGTATTTTTTATTTTTAACAGCTATTTTTTTTACATTTTACATGTTTCTTTAAAGGCATTTAAAAATATTTTTATTGCTTGTTGTTAATGCTAACATCGTGTTTTTATAATCCTGTGCAGGTGCAGATGTGAACGCCACCACACATGATGGCGAGACCCCCATGTCCTCGCTCACGTTCCTGGTGAAGGAGGCTCTGGACAGCAGTGTGGAGGATGCGAAGGAGATCGGAAACTTCTGTAACCGGGTGGCACATCTTCTGATCAGCCACGGCGCTGATCCCAGCTGCTGCTTGAACGCTACCGACGGGGAAGTGTGGGAACATTCGCTAACCTACACCAGTCTGGAGAACTTCGACTTGCTGTTTCCCCTTACCGCCCTTCTCCTCCAGCACGGTGCTTCCTTCATCTGCTCTCACCATAGCGCGTCCTACTGGACGGGTCAGCAGTTGATACTCACGCGTCTCGCTGAAGCTCTCCGGGAAGCTTTAGATGCTGCCGAGGCGGCTGATGTTTTAGCTAAAGCTGAAGTGCTGTTGGATCTGGCCAGGATCTGCTCTCCAGTCGTTCCTCCCCTCTTCCCCCGCTCACAACTGCCCGTGCTGGACCAGGCCTCTACCCATCAGCCCCTGCTGGAGCTCTACAGCAGACTAGAGGAGCAAGAAAAGCGGCCGCTGCCACTGAGATGCCTTTGCAGGAGACTCATCCGCCGCTGTCTGCGACCCTGGCCCTTTGAGGAGAAGGTGAAAGCCCTGCCACTGCCAGACAGACTGAAGGACTCGCTGCTCCCAGAGAACAGCTGGAAGGACAGAGCCGGCTGGGGCAGATTCAAACCTCGACGTTCTCCACGCTGAGAGACGCGGATTATGTGTGTGCTTGTAAATATGGAGCCCTTAAAGGGATAGTTCACCCAAAAATGAAAATTCTGTCATTACAGCTAAATGAACTAATAAAATAGAATGTTACAATAGAATGGTTTCTTATTAAATGTTACACATGCTTGCTCTTTCACAGGAAAAACTGCACTGCTTCATGCTCTGGCCAGCAGTGATGGACTCACAGTCAATAATGTGGACAATATACAGCTGCTTCTAGAAAGAGGTGCTTCACTGTGCATGTAAAACATCAGCTCTGACACTGACATAGAGAAAAGTTTTATTCTGACATGTTTATTAATAGGTGTTTTAAAAATGGTTTCAGCATGGAAAATGGCATTTCTTTCAAATATTAAGCTAAAAGATTTTATATAGTTATTATTGAAATGTTGAAAGAAGTTTAATTGTATAATTTTATATATATATATAAAATGTCATGCAAATGGTGTGACGATGTTTTCTGTGCCAAAATGACAGTAGCTTCACTGTATTACACATTAACAGGTAATTTTCTGTCCATTTTGTAGT